TGGACCTACAGAGCTGGAGTGAGCTCTTTCCTCCTCCAATCCTCTCCATTAGCCAAACGTGCCAAAAGTCACATCTTGTATACACAGATATGGGCGATTCAAAAGGTGGTCCAACATATTATACGCCTGGGGGGCACATTTTGAACATCATCTGTTGGAAACAGAAGCTGAGATGAGCTTGGGTTAATCCTGCAGAAAAACTTGGGCACTGACCCATCAGCTACAATTCAAACTTTGGAAGTTATGGCTATGGAAATTAACCATAATCTTTCAAAACGACACTGCTGCATTGCCTTGGGGATAATGTGGCATTTCTTGTCCCAGCCTCTGCAGAGGCTGTGTGGGCTAGAAGTGAGTTACTTCTGTAGTCACAACAATCTCCCCAGGCATGTTTCTGTGGTGCCGACTACACTTGAGGACTCTGCAGGAGCAGCTGTCTCTCTCTTGTTGCTTTCCACATGCATCCACCAGAGTAATTTGAACTAAACCAGGTCTGAGTAGAGTACTTCAAACAAGCTTTTATGTGTCTCTACCTTCTCAGGCTTACAAAGTCGTGCCTTGATAGTACTGGAAAAGAGAGGTGCCCAAAAGCAACTTCTGCTTTTGCATTACATGAATTTGTAGCACAGTTGTCCATCTGCCATTGTAACCTGGCTGTTAATCAGCTGAGTGTTCCCATAAGGTTTCCTTCTCTTAACTATTGGTGGTTTCATTTCTCAAAACTCCCCCTGCAGCAACAACAATGACAATGAATTTCTCACCAATCCAGTCCCCTAGACAGGATGTCCTCAGAATGAGAGGGGCTCTGCATTCTTCACATCAGCAGGAGATCAAGGGTCTGACTTTTAGTGTATGTGCAAAGCGACTTGACAGTGCACCAGCCTGAGATGAGATGAGATCCTTCTTGTAACACATGGCTGAGCTAGGGAACACAGACCTGCAGGCTGTTGTGGGTGACAGGTATTTCTGGGCTTAGAAAAGTTTTTAGAAAAGTACTTACTGGGTAACATCAAGGCCTGTGAAGAAGGAAAAAATCTTTGGTTCAGTGCTGCCCAGACCTACAGATTGCTGGAGGGTTGAAAAATGTACTAGGGAAGGGTCACTTTATCACAGAATCACAGAATCAGGTTGGAAAAGACCTCTGAGATCATAAATTCCAACCTATGACCAAACACCACCTTGTCAACCAGACCATGGCACTGACCACCTGGTCCAGTATGTCCTTAAATACCTTCAGGTTCAGTGACTCCACCACCTCCCTGCAAAGCCCATTCCAATGTCCACACTTTCTGTGAAGAAAAGGGTGACTGCTCACCTTTGCCTAACATTTTCATCTCTCCTGGCCATCAGCCATTGGCCAGCCCTTGTGAAACCTTGCCTTTGCTAACGAGGCAACACAGATATTTAACCTGACTCTTTGTAGACATTCACACATTCTTTCTCTTTTGAACTGCTTTGCTTTGCAAGTGTGTGTGTCTGTGTGTGCGTGTTTTTCCAGGCAGGGACTGGGGGATGGAGGGAAAGGAAGGGAAGGATGCAGACAAAGCATCACAAGGAGTAGAAGGAATTCCTGCTACAGGCTAAACCCTTCTTAGATTTTCAGGTTTTATACAGAAGTAGGCATGAGTCAAAATCCCAGGTCTGAAGAGCCCAAAGCTGAGATTTGTTATTTCATGGACTTATTATGCATGTAATCATTTTCTCATACTGCCTTCAGGAAGGCTTGTTAAAGAGTAGGATTTTCATTTTCTTCCAGTAGGCTGCAAAAATGCATTTGGCAGTGTGTAAATTAGCTGATGTAGCTATCCCTTCAGCTCCACTGACCACTACACTCACCTCACAGGCTAGAAAATTCCTGCTGAAGCTTCACCACATCTTGTTGAATCAGAGATGCTATGCTAATGTAGGGATACACTGCCTATAATAAGCTCCAGTTTCTATGTGCTAATAATTCTAGAGTGCTTGTAAGTGTGCTTAATAATATATAAAAGGACAAAAGAGTGGGAAGCAAATGCACATGGGGTGGATGGACATAAGAAAGAAGACGCTTTTCCTATCTTACACTATTAAATGTAAGATATATGGGAGGTCTGAACAAATCTCTCTGGCTTTCTGTCACATAAAGGTAGGCTCCAGTTTCCCATTTTAAAGATGAGTTTAATAACGTGAACGATAGAGCCAGATTAATTTTGTTTTCATCTGTAGGTATTATACCAGTGGGAAATGCCATCTGATAAAGGGTCTGATTCAGCTACCAACCTTTCTTGAAAAGGCATAATAGAATAAAAGCTATCTTCAAAAGACATTGATGTATTTATGTACTGAAATTAAAAAGTAGATACTTCTGTCTTTGCTGAAGTTGACCAAGTATATGCCACATTTCTTCAGCTATCCAGCATCTCGGCTTGGTGTGAATCCTGTTCTGGTTTTGTGCTTCCCAATCAGTGACCCTGCCTGTTATTCCTGAAGCCTTTTTCTTTTTCACATGTAATAAGCTAACTATGTGAGTTACCAGATAAGTTCTGCATAAGGAGAAGAGCATTATTCCCAGGGAGAGAAGAGACTGTTTTGAAGCTGAGGAAATAAAAGGCACTCAAGTGTCTTTATTTTCATTCCAGTCTAGCAAAGCTCACTGCTGGCGAGCTCAAATCTAGGTGGAATATCTACCTTTGACAGTCTTGGGATATCAGCAAAATTAAAACTCTGAGCACAGAGGGTTTTTCTTTTAATTGGGCTTACAGCCTCCACTAACAAATTGCAAACATACACTGAGCATAGATGTAAACAAAAACCTGCATGTAGAACCCCTTGCACTGCACAAATAGACATTAAAAATCTTCTCAGCATAAATGCTCTTTCTGCACTACCCCCTTCATTCTTTCTACAAATATACAAACATACAAACAGGACCACATATTTTCATTTGCTTTCTTTTAGCATTAGAAAGTATAGGCATTTATCCCCACCAGACTGTTTATAATGATGCTCTAGGTTTAGCTGCATTTCCCCTTTGGCTTTTCTCCTGAAGCAGAGAAGCATTTGCACAGAGCACACCAGGTGTTACTTTCATATCCTCAGACATACTGGAATATATTAACACAAACACTAAATCAAAACACAGCAAAATTAATGATCACTGCTAGGCTAGAGAAACCAAACTCCTTATTACCAAACAAGACTTGTGTGTATTGTTTCTGTTATCTTAGTTCCTGATTAATATAAAATCAGATACCAATAGCTAATTAGCTGTTCTAATTATTGGTTTGAGTTTGCATAAATTATGCTGAAATGCCCAACTTTCTCTTGCTTTAATCAATACAATATGTCCAAAAGTTGCTTGGGGTTGTAAGATAATGAGATAACTAAAGCAGTATCCTGTACACTTCATTATTATAGGCTTCAGTCAAAAGAAATATCCGTATTTTCAAATTATCCCCACTTAAAGTGTGCAGTCTGAAGCCTACTGCTCATCAAGCAACTGCTCATCAGCCCTGTTACTCTCGTAACTACTGCCTGACAATCACATTATCAAATAAAATGTAGACTGAATAATGTAAATGGTTGTATATTTTCCAAAACCCACAGTGTCCTGAACAATACAAGCTGCACCATTTCTCCAATGCGTGGATTTAATCTTTGTCTGGATTGGCCTCTTGAGAGTAACATGTAATCCTCTGAGGGCACAACTTTGGCAAAAACTAATTCTCATTCAGACATGACCCTACTGCAATACAAGTTCACTTCCAGGGCACCATGGCCTGCTCATGCTTGTAATGCTAATCCTTTAATATAGGGGTTACTTCTATAAGCATCATGGTCATTTGCAAATGAAGTAAATTCATTAATTTCCTAAAAAGCTGACTGCTATCTCTCACTTTCATCTGCTGCTTTAAACCCCTTGATTATGAATAGATTCAAATGATTTTAGTAGAAAAAAAAATTTTATGTATTAATGACATAAGTGAAGGATAAGAAGAAAATTATCACTGCAGTGAAAGAAGTAGAAACAGGCACAGTGAAAGTGAGCTTTATGGCTCATATATTTTCATATTACAATCCTCATACTGTTAAGCAACACTACTCTTCAGCTGTACAAATAAAACAACTATTCATCCTGAATCTTGCCAAATTACTTAAATATCTAAAAGGTGATTTCAGTTGAACTTGGGCATCTAAGTACAAAAAAGTGATTATATGATAATGTTTATTGGAATTTGTGCCAGCAAAGTTCCCTAAGAGACAAAGGTTTTGCAGGTGTTCACAGTCCCTCCCACCTTGGCTATCATAAGCAGTCTGTCACTTAGGCCCTGCTTGAACTTGTTCAAAGTGTACCATTAAGCATTCCCCAACAAGATTCTAAAAGGGAGAGATCCCATCACCACAAACTGATCATGGACTGGAAAAACCATGTTCTCTACCTAATATACAGGCACTGGTGATCAATGCCATCTGTTAAGATTAAGATAGAATGAATTTAAAGACCCAGCCAAGCCAGAGCAGGGAAAAAAATCCTCTCTTTGGTGAGAGGAAGGTTCATTTAGTTGAGAAATGGGGGACTTGGCTGCCACACAAGAGAGTCTTACAGTCTTTCCCTTGCCCTTTCCATTGGCTCCGGCTGTTTTGAATTCTACTGAATGGCTTCCATCCTTGCCCCAGCAGCAACAGAAGTTCAACTTGATCTTTGGACTCCAAACAAAGAATCTCGTACTTATGATGGTTGTGGTCACAGAAAACAACACAAAACTGGTTAAACCCTGGGTTCTGAATGATCCTCTGTCATCACAAGGGACCAAAGACTAGCTTACAAGTCCAGATCAAAAGTTCACACCTGCTGCATATTTACTTAGGGCAAGAATTTCCCCTTATGTTTCTCATGTTATTAAGACATTAAAATGAGAAGAACATTGGAAGAAAAGTGGAAATAAGGATCCAGATTTAAAATATGATTCTTTCAGTAACAAAGGCATTTACTTTTCAAAACAATTAATTATGTTTTTTAGAATGAATGGAAATTGAAGAATTCCTCCTCATAGGAAGATCAAGGGATAGGATATAGCCCTGGTTGGCAGTGGAACTGAAAGTAAGCTTATCCGTTTAAGTACAATGGAAATTGTTGCTGCATAACACCTTCAGCTGTGACCTTGAAGAGCAATCCTTCTGGATTCAAAGAACATTCTTTCACAATGAAAAACCTGGAGATAGTTATGGTAAACTACAGAAGAGCACAAATACAAGAACTGTGATCAGTATGGGTGCTGTGAGAGAAAGCCCGTGTCTTTTCTTTAAAGGAGGTGAGGATACCATTGAAATAAACACAATAATTAGTGCTTTGTCATGGGGCTCATGGAAGGGGTTGGTTGGCAGATGTCAGAAACACATGGACATCTCCCAAGTGAACAGCAAGAGATATTAAAAAAAGAAAAACAATTGAGGGTCATAACCTGACAGGTAATCAAGAAATTGAGATGTCTGAAGAATGACAGAACTTTGAGACCAGATGGGATCCAGCATGCTGGAAAATATGGCATTCAGAGACAGGGGGGAAAGAGTAATCGCTTTAGTGACCTGCAGATTTATAATATCCATATATATCCATAACAGCAGCACCTGTGTATGCAAGTGAACTGTACAAATTAATTTCATCATTTATGATTTCTGAGGGTATAGAAAATTTACTTTGTTTTTATTTTTAGGTCTAGACAAAAAACTTTCATTATTTGTATTTTTTTTTAAGTTGCCTTTCTCTCTCTGGCTCTTTATCATTTCAGTCTGAACTTTGTTGCCCTTGTCTTTTGTTCTGACTGCCACTTCACAATTGAACAGCAAATGAATCCACTTACAGCCTCTTTATTTCTTCATTGGTACGGAAAGTGAACAAAACTAACACTTACCGTTATCCTCCTCCTCCTGAAGCCACAGCCCACCATGGTAAATTGTTCCCATTCAAAATGTCTGTGATGATAGCCAGAGCAATTCTTTGTTCTGAAGCACCCAAATAATTTCTCAACCCGTTTATTTGATGAAAAACACCTTCATGTGTTTCAGTAAAAAAAATGGGTTTTCTGTAGCAGGTTTGAAATTGTGTCATTAAAATCAAAATGGAATAGAACAAAGGACACTTCTTGTGTACCATACAATGTATGCAGGGTTGAATGCATCTAAGATGTGAGATCAGGATGCAGAGTTTGCAGCTGCTTCCCCTTTATAGAATAAGAATTACACACTGTGCTAGCAATGCTAATCCTTTGCCCATGTCTGATAAATTCTCTCCTGGTTGTACATGCTGAAATTTTGAGTTTGAGAATCATGACAAAATCCATGATTCTAAGAATAGAGCACTTTCAGGTATTTGAAAAAGTCGAAGTTTTACCTAAATTCAACCACCCCATCTGCAAAACAGCATAATAATGTTATGCATTGCTAGCGAAGGAATTTAATTTTTTTTCCTAGGATTTTTTTGGTGTGTAATTTTTTTGTGTGTAAGGAGCTGGAGACAGGATGTCCTGCCAGAGGAATGCTAGCTGTGGAGTGAGTGCATGAGTGAATGTGATATAACAGCAGGCACAAGGGTTATTTTTTTTGTTGTTTTTTTTTTTTCTTCTTCTGCAGCCAGAGTCCTTTTGTTACCACAGTACTGTGCAGCTTTCTGAAAACCAGCCAGGAAGGTAGTGAGGATCTCCAGCTTGAAAGGAAAAGGCATTTGCCTCGTCCTCCTCTAGAGGCTGGTGGGGAGGGAGCGGGAGCCAGCACCAAGGGCTGTAGAAATGTATCCCAACAGAGTGTGCTGCCCACCAGCAGCCCCCTGCTCAGCTCGGATGCTGCAGCCACAGGCACATCTCTGCAAGAACATCTTCAGTTATAGTGGAATTACAGCAGTGCCTCTTCCTCAGCCAGCTCTGTTTAAAAAGGCTGGAGTCACTGCTACAGCCAGTCTGGTGATGTGAACTTGGCCCAGGTGCCTCAAAAGTATTTGTTTAGGAGTCTAATTCCTGTTGTAGTTAGACATTTATCACCTTTGAGGAATTACATCTTCAGCCAAGGTCATTTGATAAAGAAATGTTTAATAGTATTTTTTTTCATGCATCTAAGCACCTCACATTTACCTGTGCAGGCCTCCTGAATGATAGGAAATTATTGTCTCTGCTCAGAAACATGGTATTAGGGCATGTAGCAGGTTAGGTCTGTTGCCTAAATTCACACAGGCAACCGGCATCTTGGCTAGGTTTAAATCCAGGTCTCTTGATCCAGTACACTAGAGAGGCTATCTTCCTCTTCAGGAAAGGTGACTGGAAATGCTCTGAAGCAAGAAATGTGCAGTGCTTGTCTAACTGCAGCAGTAGGAAAAAAATTTAAATACCACTCAGAGTCAGGCTTGGGGAAATTCTGATTTAATTATGAAAAGTCAGCATGGATTCAAGAAAGCAAGCTTGTGCTTATGACTCCACTGATGGGATTCTTTCTGAGTGGATAATAAAAATATCAGATAACAAGAATCCATACATTCTGTTTAACTAGATTTTTCTGTAGAAAAGTCAGGTTCTTTGTGTTAAATGTCTGACTTGGGGAAGCAAAGGGATGCAAAAGAAATCCCCTTTTAACTTCTGCCTATGACAGCTTTCCATTAGAAACTACAAAGACTTCTCTCTCACATCACAGAGACAGGGATAAGGAGACAGCTTTAAACCTCTGGGAGCTTCGAAACAAGATCAAGAACATTCTAAAGAGGAAATTGCTCATGGGGCCACTCACATTGGGACTCACCAAGTTGATGCAAGTCTGTCAGTGGCTGCTGGCAGCCCCAGAACATATCCTTCATCAGGCCCTTCACCTCACAGAGTTTGCTGAGATGGTGCTTGCAGCCACAGGAGGTCTGGAGAGCCCTGGCCGACTCCTGCCAAGACCAATGGCTTTCAGATACATCCCCTTTCTTACTATTCTGTTTCTCTGAATTTGCAGTGTCAGCTTTCTTGGGATATCTAATTTCAATAAGCCATGAACTAGCTCAAATATTTTTTCAAGAGGTAACCATGTATTCTAACAGTTTAACATGTAAGGATGTGACTAAAAGAGAGTCACAAGGATTAGTGTGAGGATCAATTCTCTTCACTTTATATATCAATGACCTGGAAGAAAGAAGATGCTGTAAGTGGATTACACTTGCTGATGATATAAAGTGAAGGAGCAGTCAAAACAAAGAAGGAAGGGCAACAAAATTCAGAATGTATTCTTTAGTATCTGGAGACAGCTAGGTAGCTCCTAAGTTTCAAGGTATTTAAGATAATGAGTCCGATAATAAAGAAACAAAAGGAGAGAATATTCACAGAATAGCCACACATTACAAAACATTACAGAAGTGCGGTATGTGGGGTTAGTGGCAGAGAGAACTCTAACAGCATAAGTAAAAGTGTTGAACACTTTTTGAACTGGAAAAAAAATATCTCAAAACTGTAAGATAAAGGTGACTGTAAAGCAGGAAAAATATTCAAATTCTGTAAATGAGACTAGTTTTATGACAAAATATTGCATATTTCTAACTAACTATGAAAAATACGTTGTGGGGAAAAAATGGTAGAACAGGCCTCTGCCAGAAACTGTCAGCTGTTGAAATAGCTTGATTATCCAGGGACTGGAGATGAAATCCAGGTTTGTATGGGTGATAATAGATTGAAGAAGTCCTTGGTGCAGTACCCACAATACTAAAAGCAAAATAGAGAAAGGACAGGAGCCTCTGGGAGCTGTGGCACTGCCTAGGGCACGGAGGCCTGGACATCAGCAGAGGGTGGGCGCCAGGCAGGACTTGTCTGCTCAGGGAATGCATTCACCTGACGGACAAAGGGCAGCACAGGCAGTAGAAGCAGACAATTTGAAAAGTAGTTTGGCGTGTACTGTCCAGCCCCCGCAGGGATTGGTCACAGCCTGTTGCGGCTGCTCTTCCCCACGGGTGTCCACGGCCTATGGGAAGCCCACAGAGATGGGCAGGGATCTCTGTGCCGGCCGCAGCGAGGGCTGGCTCGGATCCCACGTGGAGAGCGGCCTTCCTGTCCCTCTGATTTTCCTTCCAGCAGCCACTAATGAGCTCTCTGGCCGTGTCCCTGTGCCACGGTGCCGGGCCTGGGGCGGCTGCCCGCGGCTCTGGCGGAAGCTCACACTGCCCAGGCCGCCCCCGGCCCTCCTCTGTTCCTTTCCTCTGTGTGTGCGCTTGCTGCTGGTTTGTCACAGCCATTAAGCCGTGTCGCTCCTTGCTCCCCCGGCTGCCGGCATTGTTGCCCTCCCCAGGTGCCCCCGAGCTGCAGGAGCAGCCTGTCCCTGCCTCGCCTCCTCTGTGGGTGCCCGAGCGCAGCCCGGAGCGGGCCGGCCCCGCAGTGCTGCAGTGCCCTGCCAGTGTCCGCTGCCTTTTCTGCGGTCTCAGTCCCCTGAACGGGACCTTCTGTGCCCGCTGTGACACACATCACACTGGGGCGACTCCTGGCATCTGCTGCCAGCTGCGTGCAGGGCCGCTGCTCCCTCGGGGCTCCGCCACAGGCCCAGGGCAGGGCGGGCAAAGAGCGTCGGTGCGTGCCCACTGCCTCACCTGCTGCTGCTGAAGAAAAGGACCCCGCTACAAAAATTTTATGATCTTATGGTCCTAGAAGAATTTCCTGAGCCCAATGTCTGACTAGGCTAGAAATTTCAGTAGTGTTTTCCTTTCAGCCTTGAAATAAATGTTAACTGAATTGTGAAAAGCAAACTATTGACCTTGTTTGTAAGAGCAGATTTGTGCTAACAATATTCAGCCTTGCATTATCCCCTGCGTTTTTTCTTTGCTTCAAAACGTTTTAGATTCAAATCCTTTAGCTGATACTCCATGATCAATTTTTCTTTCCCAGGTCTTGATAATAATTCCGAGATAACTCCAGGTCTGTCCTGCAGTACGAATGCCCATCCACAGCTCTCACCACGACCAGCCCAATGAAGTCAAGCTTGCAGAAAGGACTCGGAAACCCTACAATGTCCTATGCGATGCAGAAGGAAGCAGATGGGGAGTCCTGGTCCTTTGCCCAGCTCAGGTACAGACCCAGCTTGATCCCTTCCGGCACCTTCTGAGCCAGCCTGAATGCATCATGAACCATGGAGTCACAAACTGTATTTGATTCATTATAATACTGAAATAAACGGAATCATTTGGGTTGTGTGACTTTCCCTATGACAGATAAAGCCAGAAGCAACAAATTCCCTAGTGGGTTTATATGATTAATATATTATGAATTTATAATATTTTTGCTTTTGACAGACTTTCAGAAGAAATTGAGACCTGTTCTGCTATCACACTTCCTAAATAAAATTGCACTTTTACTTTTTCTGTCAGAAAACTTGCTGATAAGCCAGAAAAGATCTGAGAAATAGACACATTTGGGAGAAGATTTTACATTATTATTGGGTCTTTGTTCCAAGCAATTTCTGCATCTTAGGGATCAAGGTGAGCCTCCCATAATGCACCTGCCAGTAAGCAGGTATTAAAAGGAAGTCTTTCTAGGCATTTATCTGTGAGACATCAGACTGTAAGATGAAAAGATACCTAGGGATTTGCTGACCATCACAGACAATGCCTTGCTATGATTAAAGCTATGTATGTTACCTGGACAAAGCTACATCAAAGTGCTAATTAGGAAACATGTATTTCTGACTGGTATCCTCTGAGGCTAATATGCTTTCATTTGTGTTAAAAACCATGTCTGATGCAGAGAATTGGTGTGAGCTAGAAAGATATATCTATATAATGGACAGTGTTACTATACTCTTATCTTTTCTGTGATATATTCTCTTTAGGCAGAGAAAGAAAATTTGTGTTTATCTCACAGGGCTGAGACATCCAATTAAAGAGCCTTGTCCTACAAAATCATCTTTCTGAAAGTAAAAATGAAAGAAAATTGGTTTGATTCACTTATTCCTGATGATAAGTACTTAACTATCAGTTTTCAGGAGATTCTAATACTATAATATTCCCCAAAGGCTTTCTGTAATGGGGATAGACCACACTTACACAAAGAAGAAGCAAAAAACATCACCCACACATTGTACATGAATATAGATGCTTTTAAAAAAACTAATTTACCAAGGCAAGCAATTGATAGATAACAGGTGAAGCAGTTCATAGAAAAAGCTTTCCATATTGGTAACGAAGCAGCCAGGATGCAGTGTGTGCTGTAACTGAGAGGTGCTGCCTGGTTTGCAGCACCTCATGCTCTGAATGCCCCTCTGGCTGTGGCAGGTCTGTTGGGAAGACAGCAGTGCCTCTGCTTGGGGAAATTTTGCCTTTCTCTCCAGAAGTGTCACATAACAGACAGGGATACAACAAATCAAGTCATACCAAAGTAGGGAGGGACATTATTCACCTTTGAGAAAAAAGCATATAGCTATTCTCCTACTGAATCATAAAACTGCATACACTTAAGTATAAAAGAAACCAGAACCTATCTCTTGAAGTCAGACTGGTTTTGATACCCTTTTATCTAAGGAACAACAGAACCCAAT